GATGCTCGGACCAGCAAAAGGGGAAATAAAAAATAAAAACGAAAAATAAAACATTCAAAATTCGTTTTACATCACATCTAAACTGTATATTTCAAGCGTTTACATTACTTCGTGGCCTTTGCTTTAGTCTTTTACTTTTTTGAAGCCGTGATTTTTAACAATAATGCATAACAGAAGCCACAAATGTTGACTTTATTATGTGTACCACTCGGGTTATCAACAAGACATTTCGCACATAAGTGTTTGCATCCTTTCAAGGATGAACATTGATAATAATGTCGATAAAGTTTTGTTTTCGATAGTTCCTTCTTTTTCAAATATAACATGGCAGAACAGGAAACCCAAATTGACTTGAAAATACCTACTTTGTAAATTTAAACTCCGTTTTTTTTTTCAACAATTGTGCATGCTTCAAAAAATCTAACCAGACGTATGGATTCAGGGATGTCTATTCAACAAAATCCAAGCCTAATATTCAGAGGAAGGAGCAACATATATCTTGACTGAACATAAAAACCAAATTTTGACAAAAATACGTACGTTTGTCAATTTAAACCTGAATTCAGCAAGGATTATTCTATAAAATCCAAGCATAAATTTCAAAGGACGGTTTCAAAATCCAACTTAGTAGAAAAGGAAACCCAGATTTCTTAAAATATACTTTTCGAATTACAAACCAGGTTCAACCTTCACGTATGGATCCAGCAAGGTCCATTCAATAAAATACTAGCTTATTTTTCAAAGATATGAGCCTAAATGCAATTTGCCAGAAGCGAAAAACCAAATTTCTATGAAAATACGTATGGATTCAGCAATTCTATAACATCCACGACTGTTTTCAAAGGAAGGCGCCGAAATTCAACTTGGCAGGAAACACAAATTTATATGAAAATCCATACTTTTGAGAATTTAAGCCCAGTTTTCAAAAAAATTGTGCATGCTTGGAACATCACGTATGTATTGAGCAAGGTCCAGTCTATAAAATCTAAGCCTATTTTTCAAAGGAGGGAGCCAAAATCCAACTTGGCTGAACAGGAAACCCTAACTTCTAACAAAATACGTATTTTTTTGTGAATTTAAACTCGGTTTTCACAAAAATTCAAATATTCAACCCATTCTATAAAATCCAAGTCTATTTTTCAAATATTAAAAAGTTTCTATGAAAATACGTACTTTTGTGAATTTAAACTCGGTTTTCTCTAAAATTGAGAAATTCAACCCTCACACATGGATTCAGCAAAATCTATTCTATAAAATATAAGCCTATTTTTCAAAATAGGAGCCAAAACTCAGTTCGGCAAAACGGAAAAATCAAATTTCTATGGAAATACCTACTTTTATAAATTCTAACCAGTTTGGTTCTTCACGTACGGATTCAGAAAGTTCCATTCTATAAAAGTCAAGCACAAATTTCAAACGATAGAACCGAAATCCAGCCAGGCTTCAAAAAAATCTACCATCACGTATGAACTCACAAAGGTCTATACTAAAAAATCCAAGCCTGTTTTTCAAAAAACGGAGCCAACTCCAACTTCAACTTGGCAGATCAAGGAACCTAAATTTCTATAAAATATGTATTTTTGTGGATGTAAACCCTGTTTTTTCAACAATTGTTCTTGCTTAAAAAAATCTACCTTCAGGTATGAACACACGAAGGTCCATTCTTTAAAATCTCAGCCTAATTTTCAAAGGATATGAATCTTACAAGAACGAGGAAGGGGTCTAGGGGAGCGGAATCTGTGTTAAAAGTTAGTTTAATCACTTCAGAAAAGCTCAGACTGACACAAAATATAATTCAATCACTCAACAGAAATGTTTGGATGGAGACGAACCAGCCCAGGGCTGAAAGTCTCCTTAATAAAGATATAAAAAAAATGTTTGGATTTCCTTAGGAAGGTATTAAACCAATTCAGAAAAGGTTGGACACCGTTTGATAATTTAAGCTAAAAAAAAGTGTTGGTTCACTTCGAAAAACTCTCTACACACTTAATCTAGCTCGGTAAAATCTCCAACAGCCGATTACCTCGGCATTTACTTTTGCTGATATATCTGCAAAATATATGTTTGGGGGGAGGTAGCTCATCGATTCTTCCGGTTCGCCTCCTAGCATCGTGCTATAAGGTACCAGGCGATAACCAGGGTAGTTGATCGATAGCTCGATGACATCATTTCGTTGGCGTCTGCAATGGGAAATTCTCATAGCAGGCGTTGACGATGGGACGTTGCGAGTTGTTGAATAGCGACTATCGTGGTAACTCACCGATTACCTGTCGATCTGCCAAATTTGGAAAGACGTCTACATTGAATTGTCTCATATAATAATATTCCGCCCACTATATCACAAGAAATTGCGAGTAGCTGAGTGGAATGGAGATAAGTTAAGCATTGGGTACAGGACCAAGTTTCCCCTGGGTGGTGCCAAAAGATGAGCGCAATAGAATCATCAAGTTGCCATAAGGCACGGAATGAGACTATTGCATGGCTGGGTAGTCAAAGTCTTCCATTCGTTAGTCATTTCAGGTGGATTAGAACAGGTTTAGGTGGGCGTTGGCCAGATTTGGATTTTTCAGATGTAATCCTGGATAGGACCCTGTCATTGAAAGTCGCGTGAAAGTGGAACTTAATGAAGGCCTAAGTACTTTTTCGTAGTTTTTAGTTTTCGGATTTGAAAGATCGTCGGTTACAGTGGCCTGCTTACTGAGCAGAAAAACGCGGTCCCAGGTCCTTACATATCAAAGAGATTTATGGTAAAATCGCTTGTGTATCGTGTATTTTGCGAAACTCGTTGTTGTCGTTGGTTCCGGGTTTGAATGGATACAAAAAGTTGAGCAACGGTATTATGTGATATGAGGGGCTCGGTGGCCTTAGAGCAACCGTTTTTGCTTACTGAGCAGAACATCATGAGTCTAATCTCAGGCACATCCATATTCAAGATTCGTCAATCGTTTTATTTGTTAATATGACTACATGGTAATAACAGCAACTCGGTGATTAAAAAGGTGCTCGTCTGCCTAGTGGCAAACGTTTTTGCTTACTGAGCAGAAGACCGTGGGTTTAGTCCCAAGCTCCTTCGCGTTATATGATCGTTAGGAAATCAATTCAGCTTATCGTTTACCAAAACGAACCCTGCTGCAAACCCAACCCTCTTATCCAACATCCCAGTGATTCCTCGTGAAAGTGCAGAGGTGTTCTCGGCTTCCATCAAAGCGAATGTCATGTCAACACAATCCTTCCCATTCCTTTCTTGACCTGTGTTCGGGCGCGGCCGGCGCTGGTATTGCCTAATTTAAGATCACCAGTTTTTACACATTGAGGATGATTGCTAGTCCCAAGCATCGTCTATTGGTTCTCTGTGTAATTACAGCTGATCTGGCAATAACAGAGTAGCAACCGTGGGCGGTCAATCAAGCTCAAGCTATATCTGCAAAATATATGTTTGTTAGCTAATATCTCAGCAAAATCTTATTTGTTAGCTGAGTCTCGGCAATTGTTTTACTGAACCTCAGCAAAATAAATTGCAGAACTACTCGGCTGTTGGAATCTCGGCGAAAAAATTTAAGTGTGTACAGTTTTAGGAAAGCTAAATAAGATTGTGTCCTTGACAAATGCCTTAACAGTTAACAATAACCTGGGGGTCACTTTGCAAAATGTCAAACCCGCTCTGACAAGTTTGGATTCAGTTCGGAAAAAGTTTAATCACTGCAGGAAACTTTGGAGTCATTCAGGAAAGAGATTAAATCAGAAAATGCGAAACCAATTTTTTTAAACTTAGGTTCGGGATATGTTGGGTCACTAAAAGAAAGTTTTGACAACTTTAAAAAGGATTGAATAACATAACAGAAAGGTTTAGACTCAGTTAGAAGAATGCTGATGCCTTGTTCGACTCAGTTTTGAATCTGCTTTGAAAAGTTTCACCTCAATCAGGAATTTCCTGAATCGTTTCTGATTTGGTCTCACTTCTAAAAAAATTAAACCAATTTTGAAAAGATTGGATTAAGCTTGGAAATTGTTGAATCACTGTAGAAAAGAATTTAATCATTAAGTAGCATTGCAGCAGGTTGGTAAGTTAAAAACTTTTAGATCGAATGCGAAAATCGGGCGACTACGGTGGGCTGGTAGCGACCCGACTGGAACAAGACGAAAATTTGCGCAGTGAACAAGCGGGATCAATCAGATTGAAGGCGGCTTACCTAGTGAGTTGCCAAACAATATTAGGAATGAGTTCGATAAAATCCGTTCAACAACTGAAACCGGCTGATCCGATTTCAAGGACCTGTTATGCCGTACCGGTCTAGTACCAATTTATGTAAAAAAAAAAAAATAAAAGAACAAGGTGATTGTAGAATATCATAATGAAATCTAATAAAATAAAATCTCCAATTGAAATAGCAAAACTCCAATAATAAATATAAACTGAAAGCTTTTTTTCTACTTCCCTCTTTGTGATATTCAAACTTTTGAAGGAGGGGTGACAAAAGAAAAACTTGAGATTTGTTCCGGCCTAATTACTTTTTAATAAGTAATACTAACATGCACAGTATGCAAGCAAATGATGCAAAATTGGGCATCTTCAGAACCAAGTGGCACAAAACTTTGGGTTTTTTAGTTTTGGCCTTAAATAAGTAGACCCATTAATTTCGGTTCAAATCGGAGAGGGTCGATCACTTGAGATGGAATGACCCTTATTTGGTTTTCTCCTGCGTTAAAATGTAGCATATATAGTACTTATACCCTAACACTTCAAGTTTTTCAGGTACCGACCCCTATCTGAATGTTTGCAAGATCGCAGTCGTATCCTGCCAAACCAAAGCATGAGGCGTTGTTACCTGTTGTTACTGTTGAAGAGTTTTTCTTTTGTAGGAAATTTCTGTAGAATAATATTTTCATAACATTATAACATCTTATTTCCATTTCATAGTTCTACCAAACATTTTTTATGCGAAATGAATGGAAGTAGCCCTGATTATTGTCCCTTCAACACTCTTGGCAACATCACTCACCTGTACGGTTTTCTTCCGGCCCTTGCCCCCATTTGGGTCTTTTGCCAAGCTTTTGTCCATGGCGTTTTTCAGCTTATCGTAGATTTGTTCCTTGAAGTTAGTCAGGTAGCTCTCGTGGCTGTCCAGCTCTGGATCGATACCTCTTTCTGTCCAAGGTGCCCTGAATGCAAAACAAATGGAAATACTATATAGAAATACCAAAAATCGTAATAAGAGTACCGAATAAATCAGTTCCATCATGAACTTATTTTTTTTTTTAATTTGAGACTGACGAATTAAAAAAAACATATCTTGCTGTATTTTCTCCGATTGAAAACACTGAAATGGAAATCAAATCAGCACATAAACAAATAGATCTAATCATGAACATTAAGGAATTGTACGAATAACAGAGATCTATTATTGCCGGAAAACGACGGAAATTTATCAGTGATCTGATATCACGTGTAATGCAATGAGAATTGATTGGAAGAGAAAAGGTCAAACGTAAGCTAGCATTGACCGTTACGCACAGGTATGAATTCGATGACCACAAGGCACGCAATGGAAATGCTTATCGGAGGGTCGTGATAGCGGTGAAATAAATTGACAAAAGTGCCAATAAAATCGACTACAACCATTAGGAACCGGGAGCAGAACAGTGCCGAATAAGCTATCCAGAAGCAAACGAAGAAATGGGAAAACTTACGTTAACGTTTCTTGATTGTCGGGAGGTATTGCTTCCATAAGAGATGATTTTATTTGTTCCACTCGGCTCTCATCGCTGGGGCCATTTCCGTTATCCGCATCCCACTGGCGAAAAATTGCCAAAACGTTTTCCTTCGAGCAGGCTATAAAAAGGAAGATAAGAGGACAGTTGCGGTAAATATAAGGTTGCCAGCGAAAATGTGCTCGGGTTCATGCTGGCACGTGAAGTGAATATCTCATAAAGGGGCGATCCATTATGAACGTCACGCTCTAAGGGGGGAAAAGAGTTAAGAAATCTGTGCCAATCGTGTGAAAAATGTGTCAAAAGGAGGGAGGGGGTATTTATTTAGAATTTTGCGTACCGATCTGAATGGATGTTCCGTAAGGATCAATTTTATACCGATGGGCAAATCAATAAAAAATAACTAAATTCAAAATGCGTATTGTGTGAATAATGCGTTGAAAAATGCCCCGTTAAAAATTGCGTAAAAGAATCACAAATTGACGTTGACAAATACATGACAGTGTATCAAAAATACACTCAAAATAGGAAAATGCACACAAAAATGCGTAAAGTATGCCAATGCGCTGATTGCACTAATCAGCGCATAGGCATACTATACGCATTGCACTTATCAGCGCATTGGCATGCTTCACGCGTTTATGTGTGCATTTTCCGGTTTTGAGTGTATTTTTGATGCACTGTGATGTATTTCCTGTGTTCAAATTTTTCGTTATAATTATTCAATTCGCTTCTTGATACGTGAAGCTGCATAAAAAATGCTTCGGTCCTGGTTTAATACGTCGGTGGTATGAATGTGTGGGTGACACAACAACCAAGAAATGTTAAGTTCTATTTTATCTTCTGCTTATATTAATGCACGACATTTCAGCTCTGCACAGCATTATATTTGCGATTAATTTCGTATAAAATCGATGAATCTTCGATGGCCGAGCTTCCTTCACCAACACACGGCACTGACCGCAAGAATAAAAAATCCAGGAGTTAGAAGGTTGTTACTTTACCGTAGGGTAGATGTACCAGTTATGGCTATTATTATGATGTGTTCCAATTATGGCCTATAAAAATCCCATATGCCATAATTGGAACACATCTTCTTGAGCTAAGCCCTCATACTCGTTTTATGTCATTGTACTTGTTGTAATCTCAATCTAAGTAATCCGCGAGTTCGTAGTAGCCTCTGTTAGTTTGTTAGTCAAATAAAACTTTCATTCGTTTCCAAGCATTCCTCAAGATTAGACGTCTTTTATTTCACTGCATTTACAAGTGGTTATGGGCCCAGAACACTGAACATAGCACAAGTTCAAGTTGAAAAAAAGTAGTTCCGGAGCTCCCACCATGTTAACAAGCCTAATCCCGGAAGATCGGAACCATGGCGGAGGCAGTTCAAGCAAAGGTGCAGGATCGACAACGCAGAGGACCCATACTGTTGGAGACGGTGTGCGTGATGGCGGAAGTTGCGATCATTTGGCAATTCCATGAATGTTCCGGCCATTGGGAAGCTGAAGGGACGGCAGAATTACACATAGTGGGAGTTTCTCATGAAGATGACGCTGATTAGAGAAGGCACCTGGAAAGCGGTCAAACCTGCGGAGGGACAGGAACCTGATCCGGAGCTGAGCGATCGAGCGCTGCCTACAATTTGCCTGAGTGTCGAGAGGATTATTTTTAGTATCATGCAAAAGGCTACTACAGCATCGGATGCGTGGAGCAAGCTGCAGAAATCGTTTCAAGACAACGGGCTGATCCGTAGATTCGGTTTGCTGGACAAGATGACCGGAGTGAAATTGGAAAATTGTAGCTGTGTTGAGTACTACGTTGACGAGCTTGTGTCCATCACGGATGATTTGAGCGAGATCGGATTCGAGGTGAACGACCAATGGTTGGCGTCACTGTTGCTAAAAGGACTGCCGAAATACTAAAACCCAATGATCATGGCTTTGCAATCATCGGCAATCGAGTTGACGGCGGATCTCGTTAAGGCAAAGGTGCTTCAAGATGTGCAGTGGTTGCTGGACTGTTCTGGCGAAGGAGCATTCTATTCGAAGTAGAAGTCGCGGCGTCCAAAGAGTGGAGCAGATAAGAAGGAAGGTACGTGCTTCAATTGTAACAAACCTGGGTATTACGCGGCCAAGTGTCCCCAGAAACAAAGTTCATCAAAGTCAAGAGGGAAGGCTCTGTGCGCTACGCTGGCAGTTGATCGTGGAGAAGAAGAAGACTGGTACTTTGACTCCGGAGCCACTTCGCATATGACGAGGACGATGAAGAATTTTGTGAAGCAGGAAACTTTTGTAAATTCTATCGAAACGGCAAACAATCAAAGCGTGAAATCAACATCGAAAGGTCTGATGAAGCTGGAGTTGCAAGAAGGTTCAATCGAAGTTCAGGATGTATTGCAAGTTCCGGATTTGGCAACCAACCTTTTATTTGTGAAGCCGAATATTTGGCGCATTCAAGGACCGTGCAGGAGGCTCTCTGGTGGCAGTATTTTCAATCGCAAATTTTCGGGCAGCAAGCCATTTCAATTCAATGTGACAATCAATTCGATATCTGCGTGGCGTGGAACCAAGGATATAACCCCCGGACCAAACATTTGGACATCAAGCACCAGTTTGTGAAGGACACTTTGGATCGTGGAATCATCGACCTTGCGTACGTTAGCACGAAAGAGCAACCCGCCGACGGTCTTACGAAGGCTTTACCGAACATCAAACTGGAAGCTTTCAGAACATTAATAGGACTCGCAGTTTAGGAAGGATCTCAATCTAAGTAATCCGCGAGTTCGTAGTAACCACTGTTAGTTTGTTATTCAAATAAAGGTTTCATTCGTTTCCAAGCATTCCTCAAGATCAGACGTCTTTTATTTCACTGCATTTACAAGTGTACTACGTGTACATAACACAGGATGTCAGCCCTCCACAGCATGATCCTCATCGTGTATGCTTCTCCGACTTCGGCAATTCAGTCAATTTTGATTTATCTATGACACAAAAGATTCGCGGAATCCTAGAGCATTATCGTTCCATGATTGCTCCGTCAATTTTCGCTGCAAAGTTTGGCTATGTTGATTCCATAAGATCGTTGTTCACAGATAGATTACTAATAGAGGCGCCCGCTGGATTTGGTATTTATAACGAATTTCATAGCGCCTCTCGAATGCTTCAAGCTCCTTGAATCCGTATATGTTGCTGAGCTGGCGGCAATACATTATACGCTTGAAACTATCGCCTCACATGCATCACAACACTACTTTACTTCAACAGGTAAGTCTCAGTTCTGTCAAGGCGATTCACTGCACGAGCACTCCTCGTCTCATGAAAATACGAGAGCTTCTATGTGCTTTAAAATCTTTTGGCATCACCATTGCATGGGTCCCATCTCATTGCTCGATTTCGGGCAATGAGAAGACGGACTCGCTTGCAAATGCGGACGCTATGCAAGGCGATATTTACCATCGACAAATCGCGAAGTATCCTTGGTTCAAAAGGTTGGAGGTGAGTCGAGACTTCATTCGTATGATGTCTCGCCTCATGTCCAATCATTATTCGTTAAACGCTCACTTGTTCCGTGTTGGGCTGGGGTACAGCAGTCTCTGTGAATGTGGACAAGGTTACTAGGACGTAGATCATAGGCGTAGCCAGAGAGGGCAGAGGAGGGAAAACAGCACCCCCCCCCCCTAAATCCACCAACACAAAGGCTTTCGGTGAAATAGCGTTTGGTAAAATGGCATTCGGCCAAATTTTCCATACAACTTTTTTTTCGCCCTCCCTAGCTCGAAATCTGGCTACGCCCTTGACGCAGATCACATTATTTGGTCATGTGCTGAGCACCGTGAAGTTAGATCCGAGCTGTACGATTCCCTCCGGGCTCGAGGTTGACAACTTAATGTTCCAGATCGGCATTTTTGGCTAGACGCGATCTGGAGATTATGAAACTCATATATGTTTAAATAAGAATATTAAGATTGTAAGTTTGAATAACCTTGTGTTAGGATTGGCGTAGCTAGAAAATTTATCTGGAGGGTTCCTAGAGGAGGCCCGTTGCATTTTACAGAATACATTTCATACATTCAGGACTTAAGAAAATGTTCAAAATATATGTCCATGTACAATTCTCAACATTCTGAATGTTTAAATAAAAATATATTTGAGATCCCAAACCCATATGTTTTCAAGATTTTGAAACTTAAAAATACATATCTTTGATAAAGATTGTAAGTCTAAATTCTTCGAATAGAACTGAAGACAAAGATAAAATTGGAAGATCCTTCCTAAAGGGTGTCCACGATGAAATTGCCACACACAAAATTGATTCGCAAAATTCGAGTTTTCATCCGATTGCCATCAAATTTTCAGGGATTGAGAAATAACTATTAAACTTCATTTTACCATTTTACTCGTATTTTATTTACAGTCCATACGCAAATGCCCGCACCTTGGCCTTAACCCCGGCCATAAGATTCTGCACAACCTGTGAATCAACCGTTTTTTGCATGTAAACCCATACTTTCTTCAGTTCCTCGACTGTCTTCACTACCTTAGGTCGTTTAAGAAGGTGCTGCTTCATAATCGCCCAGTACTTCTCGATGGGGCGGAGCTCCGGAGTGTTGGGAGGGTTGAACATTTTCGGCACGAAATTGACCTTATTGTCCGCATACCACTTCAGCACGTCCTTGGAGTAGTGGCATGAGGCCAAATCCGGCCAGAAGATTGTTGGGACGTTGTGGGCCTTCAGGAGAGGAAGCAGCCGCTTCTGGAGGCACTCTTTTATGTACACCTGTCCGTTCATCGTGTCCTGGGTCACGAAAGGTGCACTCCGCTTCCCGCACGTGCAGATGGCTTGCCAAACCAGGAATTTCTTCGCAAATTTGGACATCTTCTGAGTGCGGACATGCTCCGGAACGCTGAACTTATCCTTGGCCGTGAAAAACAGGTTGCCGGGGATCTGTTTGAAGTCGGCCTTCACATATGTTTCGTCGTCCATGATGCAGCATTCAACTTTCGTCAGCATGTTGAGGTACAACTTCCTGGCACGGGTTTTGGCGGACTTGTTCTGCTTCTCGTCGCGATTAGGGGCCTTTTGTACCTTGAACGTTCGAAGCCCAGCCTTAGTTTTGGCCTT